TGCAGAATGGCCTCTGCAGCCATGTCTGTGTTGTAGGAACAGGGAATAAGACACATATCGCCTAATAAATGATACACTGCCAACCCCCCCCCCAGCCTATAAGGAAATGACCTCTTCCAGATCCCACCCAGTAAATACATTGAGCAGCATGAAACTAGACAACTCACAGGTGACTCTTACCTGGCAGGGGCTTGTTAGAGTGAGGGGTTGGAGACTAGACAATGTATGCAGCATAACGAAAGGTTAAAATGAAATGAGGGAGATTATTTGATTGCAGGACTGGTAGTGATATGTTTTTGGGCAAACCACATGCGCCCGTGGAGTCCCCTCAAAGTCAAAAGGGCTTCATGCAGATGTCTGAGCATTTTCCTGCATCTCTGATTGGAGCCTGCTGCATGCAGCACAACTAATCTTTACTTGTTTTCAGGCTGAGGACAGAAAGAAGAAGAGCGATGGCATCCAGACTCCCCTCAACTGGGCTGCTGTCCTTGGGCACGAAGTCATCCCATATGTTCGAATGGGTTCTGGCAGTAGTTCCAGCCCTTGCACTCCAGCTTTGCAAAGAGCAATACTCACGCAGGTAAGGGTTCTCTTCAGATGCAGTGAACTCCGGGCCTCATTAAATCAATAGCTGTCTAGGCAGAGAAGTAAGTGAGGAACCTCACTCCTTTGCCTAGGTGAGCAAGGGCTATGACACAAGTACGGCAGATCCTAAGTGCCACTATCTCCTGCTGAATTCGAAGCAGAATTTTATGCAGGCATTTCAGATTACAGTTAGATAAGTTATTTTTTGATACATCAGTGCCTGACTGTGCTAATTCTGTGCAATTATTGTTACGTGTCTCACAAAAAGCTTGCATCAAGTATGAACCTTTATTTCCTTGATTATGTATTATTTATAGAGCACCATAAAGGCATATGGCACTCTCTGCAGAACACGTAAAACTCTGAGTGCTGTCCCTGGAGGCCTTGTACCCTAGTGTGTTCTCATGAAATATTCTGAAAGCAGACAGAGAAGGAATGAGGAATCATTATCCACAGAGGGTTGGTTCCTGAGCCTGTGAGGAACCTGGAAACTCTGGGAAGCTCCATGTGCTGCATTTCTTCTGTTTTCTTCCATCGTAACCCTGAGTTTTGTCTCTGTTGAAAAAATACAGAGGATTTGACCTATAAGCTGTATAGGTCATAGGGACATAGGGACTGAAAGAGGCACAGCCATTAAGTCCCTCTGGATTCACAGGCAATCATTTCTCCAAAGAGTCCTGAAATTTCTCCAGTCCTTTATGCATGCCATAGCCTCAAAGCACCTTGTAAGAAGCCAAACCAAAAACACCCAACACCGTGACACAGGTAAAAATCAGGGGAAATCAGAGCATCATCAATGCCCTGCCACTGCAGTGGTAGAGAAGTTACTGAACATATGTTTAGGGGATCCCAGAAAGAGGACCAGGCCACACACTGCAATGGAAAGCAGAAGCCCCTACAATCCTTGCCAGATTGTCTTCCTGGCCTGTCTGGCAGGCAGTTTGACCCTGAGTGGAAGTGCAAGGTCCTTAAGAGGTTTCCAAGTACTGGCAGGAGCATCAGGGTACCCCAGGCTTAACTTCCACCAGTAGCTGTGGCCAATGGCCAGGGTCACAGAGGGAAACCTGAAGGAATTCATCTGGGGCACCAAGGCTTGTGCAATGAGACCTTCCATCTTTGTACAGAAGCTAGGTGACCAGGATGTTCTGCCCATTCAGTCCAGCGTGTTTGTTCACGTGTTTTTACTTAGAACATCAAACTCTTTTAGATACGGCTCTTTTCCCTCCAGAAGGGTTCTTCACACTCTCCCTCTCCAGCTTAGCCAAACACCACTGCTGTTGCTTTTTTGAAATCGCTCTTTATTTGTCCTTCTTTGTCCCAAGGCACTCCATGCCTACACCTGTTTTAAACCCCTATCCTTGTAGCTTGCACTCCTTTGTGTCTTTGCCACTGGCTTACCAGGTTGCCTAGACCTCTGCCAATTAGACTCCACTTGCTAACGTGATTAATCCTAGATTCCTGTATCAAACACAAGAATTGAACCTACTCAGAGTCCTTGCATCTATGTAGAAATCATGTGTGAAAATACTTCTTGCCTGATAAATCTTCCCTTGAAATGGCTACAGTAGAAATATTCATTCCTGCAGCTAGTTCCAGTTCAAGAAGAATGTGAGAGCTGTTCTCCCCTTCCCTTTGTGAACTGCATGAATGAACACCCTGTAACATAGTATTGGGGGCACCGTGGAATGAGGCAATATGTTTATTTTTGTCATTCTTGCCATGCACATTTTCAACCAAACCAGGGAAATTCAATCCCTGAATAGTCATTTGAACTGAATCATACTTCAGCCTTGGAAAAGTTGATTTATTTTGTGATTTTGCTGCCTGGATGTAAAAGCAACCACAGCCCAGGCTGCTTATTTCAGATGCTTACAGGATGTCAGAAGGCTTTGGGCCCTTTTCAGTCACACTTTGAGGGCACTATTTTCTCCCTCTCAGAGCTGGGGAAAACTTCATCCTAAGTGATTTGCACAGGATAGTTTAGATCGGGATAATCCTCAGGGAGAGGGTTGAACTAGCTGACCTCCCAGTGTCCCTACTTCTCTATGATTCTCCAACCTGACTCACTCCTGTAATCCCACTGATTTCAATGGGGCTGTTAATTATCTTGCCATATTCACACAAGTCAGGGTTGTGGGCTTAGGTACTGAAGTCAAGTCTCTCTGAACTTGATTCAAAGCCTGATGGAGTCACTGACTTCATTAGCTTTGCTTTGAGCCTCCTATGATCATCTGCTTTACAGCCACACAGCTCCCTGGGGCATTATACTTTCACTGGCTCCACTGTGCACTGCTCTCACTCCAGACACAGAGACAGCAGAACGGGTGTTAGTGCTGCTAGGTGAATCATTCAAGCACTGTTTCTCACTGAGGTTGGCAAGCAAAGAGCAGCTATTCCACCTCCCCAACCTGACACACGTCCTCCAAACCAAGATGTCTCTGTCATGCCAGGCTGCTCAGAGGGGCAGAGCATACTGCATTAATTCCACCTTTTTTCCATCACACAGTTTTTGGCAAACAGCCGTGGATGCTACTAGCTAAATGTTTGGGAACTCTTCCTACATTCACTTCGTAACGGTGTGCCGCAAGGTAGTTTATGGGCCAGTTAGAACAAAACACTGGTAAAACTATACATACAGGTGCCAAGTTTGTTTGTTCCCCTAAAGATGATAACATTGCCTTTAAAATGAACTGCAAAGCTAAAATGAAAATCGCAGATGTATGTTTTGAAGGCAACATGCATTGTGTTTTAGTTCACAAACGCAGGTTTGAGAAGCTGGGATGGGAGTGGTTATATGTTGCCATTGAAGATAGAGATAAGTTTAAATTATTTTTTGAAATTATTGTCTCTGGAGTGGAGCTTCTTACTGGTTTCCTGAATTCACCTCTAAACCAGAAATCACATTACAAGCACTGAGGTACAGAGGGCCTGATTTCAAAGTGCCTTGCATGTGCTGAAGTGTCATAATCAGCTGTACAAAGCAGATATGAAACCAGTGCAGTGACAGTTTCCACCAATTTTTGGATTCACTTTGCTCAAAACTGTGGCCAGTCAGGCCCTATGGTTACCTGTGATGTCACCGAATGATACAGTTGGGGCTACCTTTAACATTTCATGGAGCCTGAAGAGAATTATATGTAAAAATCACCGCATTTATTTCCCTACTCAATTTCTACCACAGGCTGGTTAGTGGAGAAATTTAGCACATAAATCTGGGATTAACTCAGTTTTCATTAGCTTTGTGGTTCACTTAAGAAGGCTTTGCTGGCATATATTTTCTGCTGCATATATTAAAATGCACAATACACTATTAATGTCCTATGTTTTTGCTAAATTACAACCAGAAGACTAACTATGTTACAATAATTGGCTGCGCATTATTTTCCGAGCTGATCTGAGCTCTGTGACAAACATAACCATAAATTAACCCAAAACAAAATCCCTTCTTCATGCTGCCATGTAACAAGCGGTCCAGAGCAGGGGAGGCACGTGGCCTGCAATTTGGGCATCTCTGTAAAGCAATTTCAACCAATACAGCACTGCTGTATGTTATGTCATGCTCCATTATAATGAATGAAGGAGCCCATTGGGGTCCTGTCTGGTCCTAGAGCATCTTCTTTATAGTACCAAGGAAACACACTCCCTCCCAAGAGGTTGCATGTGAGTGAAATGCAACACAGCTGCTAATGGAAATACTGTATTAGGAAACTGAAATCAGGTCAAAATCATCCTCAACACATGGTTTTTCCTACCAAAGTGGTTCATTCACATAAAATGCAGATCATCCTGTACAGAGCAGGTTTACCTCTGCACAGTAGGTCAGCCCATGCCCTGCCTAAGCTCTGTCAGACCCTGGTTTGGTGAAGACATCGCAGAACAATGGATTGTGGCTTATCATGGCTGCTACGGGACCTCCGCTGCTTTGCCTCCACTGAATCTCTTTCTGGCCTCTTTGAAGCCAATGTAAAACTTAATCTTCACCCATTAGGCTGTGGAGGAAGTGGTGTTTCACCAGGTGGTTTTAAGCAGGTCTTAAATACTGTGCTTGCCTGGTCCTCTGCACAAAGATGGATTTCACCATCTCATAGTTTGGATGTATTCAGTCTGGGGGCCTTGATTCAGCAAACTACTTCAGCATAACTTCAAGCCCATGAATAGTCCTCTTGTCCTCAACGGAATTTGTAGGCTTAAATTTAGTCCCAGACTTAAGTATATTGTTGAATTAGGGGTGAGAAAATATCATTCTGTATATTGATAAT